ACATCAGCTGGAGCATTTCATCAGCTAACGAAGTGGTTGGAGATTAGATTCTTTGTCGTTTTGCTGGAAAGATTCTCAGTGGTTTTGCATTAAGTCCTGAAGTGCAGCAACACTGAGAGCAGAGAGCAGGACAAGACCTGCTGTAGCAGACTAATCTCTCATCCAGCACTGGGCAAGCATTCAAGGATTTGCAGGGGAGCTGAGCTGGGAAAGTGAAAGGTTTTCTGCTGAAGTGCTGCTGGCGTTTGGAAATAAATCCTGATCACATGCTGAGTCTGTGCTGAAAGAAAGAAGCACGCAGGACAGACCAGTCATAGCCCGAGCAGGAGAGAGGTGATCATAAAGCTCTTCCTTTATCTCTGCGAGGTCAAATGAGATAAACAGCAGCTTCTGGAGAGATCAGAATTGTATCTCTCTGTCAAACCTTGTGCTGGTGCTCCATTCTCCATCATTATCATTAAAAAATTCTGTTTTGGTTGGATGTTCTACAGTATCGGCTAGTTAATAGTGACTTTATGCATTAAGTTTTGTTTTTTTAATTTTACTGTCAATTACTTGAAAGGTATACTCAATTAAAATTAAAACTAAACTACAAGCATCAGGAACAAATCATTTTGTGTCAGGGCGTATTTTTGTTCAAATCTGTTATTCTAAAGCATGTATGACACCCACTACAATCCCACTCTCATGGCTGTGTACTGTTATACCCATTGATTACCTAACTGCTGACCAAAAATGACCAATTGAATATTCTAATTGATGAAAAGCCCTAATACAGATACATACATTTGTTCTTATACTCTATAGATATGTAGCCATGTGAGTAGATATGACACAACACCACAAGCAGAAGCTGTTGAAGTGACCATACAGGTAACTGGTCTAACTGGTTTAATCTCCAAGTAAACCAAGAGTCTAAATGAGCAATTAGCAACAGTAGCTGGAACAAAGTCTAGCAGGCACAGGGATCCTCCAGGAGTGGGGCTGGTAACTCCTACAGTTGACCACACTCTGAACACCGGACATTCCTACATCAGCCTGCGACTCTGTTAGACACAGCAGAAGTGCAACCTGGCTGACCCTGTACTCATACACCATCTCCGTGTACAGCGTGTATGAACACGGGCTGCGCTGGAGTCAGGTAGAATATCTGAGTCATTATTCACTCCGTCTCTCCGGAGAGGGCGAAGACATGATTCACTGGCCCGGCCGTCTCCTTCGCTGTGGGCTCCCCCTCTCCTCTCCCGCCGGGTGTCCAAATATTTGCAGAAGGGAAGATGTGCAACGACAGAGAGGGACAGGTTTCTGCGAGAGAACTGTCTGAAGAACCCAGACAGTCTGTGACTCAGGAGCTCAGGAGCAGTGAGAGGAGCCCGGCGGTGTGGTGCACGCTGCGGGGCGCACGGGACTCCCCCAGTTTCACTGCGTCTCTCTGGGCAACACTTGTGGGGAAAAATCCATAAGACCATTCGGTCATCTGGCCTGTCTGGGTAAAGAGCTGTCACCGATCTCGCTGGTAAATGCAGAGTCCGGGTGGCTTGTGCTCACACCCCTGCAGGGTTCACTGCGGACTCTGGAGAAGCCCGCTGGGCATCACTGTTCCTGGGGGCTTTCCAGCTCTCGGATCAAAACCCATCGCAGTCGTGCCCACTCGCTCCCTCCTTCTGGTGCCCTGTGATCCTGGGGACCATGAGCTTTGGAGAAGCATCTCTCTGGGCTTTCCCACGCCGTCATCCTGCTGCGGGGAACCCCGACACAGCCGAAGCCCAGAGAAGAGGCAGGAGGTGTGCTGTGCAGCTGCAGACTCCTCTAAAGCCTGTGTTTCTGAGGAGCTGTCACTGCTCTGGGCAGACAGGAGGCCACAGTAAGGGAGGGGCCAGAGCCTGTCTAAAGGGAGGACTGCTGACCCGTAAAACGCCTTTTGCAGATCTGTGAGATGGAAAGTGTCCAGCTGGCGTGTGAAGGAAGGAGATGAGGAGGGAGAGTGGTGGACAGAAGGTCTCAGGTGAAAGAGTTTGGGCCCACATGGCTGCAATGTCCTGGGCGTGGGCGGGACAGAACCCTGCAGACACTCTGGACGGGCTGAACTGGACACAGAAGAATAAAATCAGATGCCCTTGCATTGCCAGAGCCCTGGCCTGTGCACACAGCTGACTGCCACCGGCTTCTGCCAGCGGCGCTAATTAAAAAATAATAGGTACTTGTCTGCTCCAGCAGGCCTGTACACTGACGCAGGCTTTCAGAAAGAGTTGCCATAGCAGCTCCCAGAGCACGACTCAATGTTCCAGCAAGGTCTGTCAGGAACAAAACACTGCACCTCCCTACTGCAGCTCCCTCCCAGCACAAGAGCAACACCTCCTAACTGCAACTCCCTACTGCACCTCTGTCTCAGCACCGGAGCAACACCTCCCTTCTGCACTTCCCTACTGCAGATTCCTCTTCTCCTCTCCCAGAACAGGAAGCAGGTCACTTAAGCAGAAAGCAGGAGAGTATGGCCTCACTCCCACTGCCCAGCTGTTCTATCACTCTAGGTCCTTTTAGGGATCTGAGGTGAATTGCAAGAAACAGCAGATCAGGCTCATTCTTTTTAAACACTGATCTGAATAAGTTTAACCAAAACAAGGTGACAAACACAACCTGGAGGTGACTTGTACTCAAGGTCTGCAGCTGGCGAAACTGCGCAGCTGCCTCTCCCAGGCCTTCTGCCGAGGAGATGGGAGGATGGGGCCGAGCTGCCCCTCACTCCCGCCACATTCCGCAAAAACAAGTCCTGGAGGCGACAGATTGCTGCACCCCAGAGCCACCCCCTCCTCCTCACCAGGCAGCTCTGTCTGCCTCCGGGGAGTTCAGACCGATCCCAGCGCCCTCTCCCAGGCAAGTCGTGACGGTCCCCTGCTGCAGAGCTCTTTTGTGTTGAATTTTATACGAGGGAGGGAGGGAGAAGACAGAAAATAAAGGAGACGGAATAGGACACATCTTGTGTTCTCTGCTCTGCTCCACCCAGGTGAACTCCTCCCGGGGTGAAAGTAGACCCGAGCAGCTTTAGTGCTTTTAGCTTTGAGAAGTTTGAAACAAGTCCTGCCCGCTGTGGGGTCTGGCCCCCCCAGACTCTCCTGCGGTGTGAACGAGCTCTTTGACAGGCTTGCAGGCTCGCAGGGAACAGTCAGAGGCGTGTGGGATGGGCATGCACCAGGCCTGGAGCTGGGGGGCGGGGGGGCAGGGCTGGCAGAGCGAACCTGAAGCTGCCGCCTGAGGGCCGGATCACGAGCTGCCTGTCTCTGGGACAATGAGGAGCTGATCTCCTCTGGGAACGAGCAGGGAGACGCCTCAAACCGCAGACTCACACTCTCCGCAGAGTCACAAAGCACTCAGACACGGTCAGTCACACCTGGCGCCCCCCCCCAGCCCGACTCCTCGACAGCACCCCGTCATCCTGCAGAGAGGGATCGGGTGAAATTCCAACCGCAAGAGGGAGAGGAAGGGAGGGGTCTCCCCGACAAACACACAGCTCTTAAACCTCAGCGGCTGAGACCGAGCACTTCCACACGTCCAGGAGTCCAGCAGCCCAGCACCCTCGAATACGCTGTCCTGCATGTTTCCAGTGTACTGCTCTACCCTGGGCCTGACAAGGGCACAGCAGAGCTGCACCAATGGGCTCCGGGTTCTGATCTGGGTTTCAGGGAAACTCCCGCACAGTGCCTCACAGGTTCTGCCCACACTGATACAACTGGATCACAGCTGGAGTAGACAGCTGGGACGGGGACACAGCTGGATCACTGACACATCTGGAAGGGGGACACAGCTGGAACAGATAGCTGGACCACTTGCACAACCGAGACAAGCGCCTGCCTTAACTACTGCCGATTTCTTATTGGATGATAGAGGCTGGGGGAGAAAGTCAATAGTTTTTCCAATAAACAAAGAAAGCAATCACTATTATTAGTACTCTTATCACAGTTCCTCATTTATCCTTGTCTAAAATTTCCTTTCTGCTGGTCACTGATAAATGAGTGTAAAACACTAAGATTCATTTTTATGAAAAGTAACAGTAAAATGAATCCCACGCAAACAAAGGTTAAACCTGGGGAGTACCAACTGTGGGAAATGTTTTTTGTTCCAAATTACTTCACTTAACTAATTACCTGTTTCACTGGTCCAAATGAAACAGCGACCCAGGAAGACCTGTGGAATTGAGGTTCAACCACAAAGTGCCGGCAGGGTGACTGTCACACTAGTGCCCCCTCGTGGTGAAGCTTGGCCACTTCATCCACAATAAACTCCTGAGACTGCAGTTCAGGTCCAAATAACCAATCTCAAGGAACAGATATCCTCCTGGTCAGAACCGAAGCAACACCCAGTTGTCTACCACGATCCAGTACATGCTACAGCTAATGCTGGTGCCATCATTGAAAGTGTGTGGAGGGGCAGCGCAGGAGCACATGGAGCTTCATGCCGAGTCTGCACTGCCAGCGACACAGGAGCTTGAGAGTGAATGAATCCAGCTGGGCGTCAGGGAGCTGAGTGCATCTCTGTCCCACAGAGGACCTGCGGACTCTGGTTCAACAGTGTCCCCGTCACTCTCTTCCTCCAATCGCCTCAGGGCTGTGTTTTGGCTGAGCTCTCGGGTACTCTGGCCTGCGCAGACAGCTGTGGTGGAGAACCGAGTTCAGCACAGTGAAGGGGTATCCTTCCCTCATCCAGCCTTCACTCAGACAACAATCAGTCACGCAGGGCCAATACAGCGCCCTCTGGGGATACTGTTAATTGATAACAAGTGCTGTGGTTTCAAGGTTGTCCTTGACCCAGAGAGCACGCAGGCCTGCTCTTCATGTGCGCACTAAAATACTGTACACAACAGCCCTGTCCCTCTGCCTGCTCTCCACCTCCCCTGTGCATGACCCTCGGGGCCTGAGAGCTTTTCATGAACTGGTCTTCTCACTGCATGTCCTCGCGTATACAATTATAACAAAGTGGGAAAATTCAGACACAGCACACACAGATTTCTGTCCACTTCACAAGCTTTTAATTCAGCCTTTCGCTTTCAATTTCTATATACATTTTATTTCTATGGAAACAATCCAGACAGTAAGGTAGCCCCCTCTTCTCTTCAGTCCAGCTCCCTCGATCTGCACTTTAACCCCATCAGCAAGACATCAAAGCAAAACCCCAGTTTCTCGCTTCTCCACACAACTGTGAGCAACTGTGAGAGACAGGACCTGCTTGTGCACCACAAAGGTGAACAGGATATAAACAAAACAACACAAGGCGCCCAGGCTGCTTACAAAAGCTACCGAGCGACAGATCTGGACAGCCGATCAGCACACAGTGGACCTGCAGGCTGAACAGATGAACCTGGAAATGTTCTTGGAACAGGAAAACAAACAGCGTTCTGAACTTCTGTCTTTAATTCCTACGGTTTCCTGTTCCTCTTGTGTGGGCGGCTCTTGAAATTTTTGGGGTTTTACATTGTTTTAAATGACTAACAAAACAAGAAGAACAGAAGAAACCAGCAACACCCACTGCCCTCAAGACTGCAGAAGGCCCCTCGCTGAGGTAGTCTGGCAGAGGAGAGGACAGGCAGGACACAGCAGCAGGAGGAGGAGGATCTGGTGGAGGAGGACAGGGCGTCTGAGGAAGAGGAGGAAAGAGAGGACAACACCAGGAAAGACGAGGGGGTAGGAGCTCTTCAGCTTCTCAGGGGTCTCAGAAGCGCAGCCAGTACATGGCACTGCGGATCCGGTTGTAATCGGGAAGCTGCTCAATGGGACCTGCAGAGGAGAAAGACATGAGGACAAAATACAGGGCTCCCCAGCTGCAAGTCTGTTTTCACACCTTTTTTAACAAGCAGAGTGAAATCACTACAAGACGTTTTATACAGATACAGTATTCCTGCTTCAGTGGTGTTCAGCCCCTTTAAAAGGTATCCAAGCTGCACGGCAGGTTTTCAGTTACTTGTAACACTTCTGGAGATCTCAGACGCTGCTACAGGTTAAGCACGTCAACAAGCTGTGTTTGCCTAAACAGACAGCCCTGGCCTGTGGAATAATGTGCAAACAAATCCGGTACTGCTTTTAAACAGGAGCTGAGCCTTCTCTCTTGCCACGTGCAAAACTTTAAGACCCAGCGAGGTCCGTGAGGCACAGCAAACCCAGCGGCTCCAACAGGGACTCACCCACAGCCGCCACCGCCGGGCACTTGTCGTAGATGTACTTGGTGCAGACGTCACGGAGCTGCCTCGAAGTCACCGCCTGCAGAGGGAGAAGCACCACCAGTCACACCACTCCTCTACCACACTGTTCCGGTCCTGCATCATGGCTACAGGTCCACGCAGGACCCTGCTGTCAGAGCTGCTGCTCGCAGGAGAACAAGGATGGACGCGTCTTCCTCCGACGGCACTACAGGCTTCCAGCGGCCATGCGGGCCATGGGCCCGTCCAAGCCCACCAATCTCCAGAAGTGCTCAGCAAACTGCGCTCCAGCACAGGGAGAGTCCCGGTCACCGTGTGAAAACAGCACAGCCCTGACTCCGGCCATATTCTGACAGATTTGTCCTACTCTGGGTCGCAGGGTAGCCCTAGTCTCTCCTGCAAGCAAGGAGTGCACACAGACACACACTCACTCACGCCAGGGCCAGTTTTCCCAGTAGCCAATTAACCCACCAGCATGTCTTGGACTATGAGATGAAACCGGAGCTTGGATAGAACAGCAGCAGCCTGGCTTTCCTTAGAGGGCTCAAATCCCAGTACTGACCCGGCCCAGCGGAACTCCTTGGATGAGGCTACAAGGTGGCAAACTCACCAGCCTGCAGACTACCAGTGTCACAGATACAAATCCAGGAGACCCAGGCTGAACCAGCAGCAGCCAGTCCTGGGACCTCTGGGATAGGGAACAGCTGCAATTCCACTCCGGCAGCACTGAGCCCAGAGTCACACTTTTAACTAGGGGAAGAGCAGAATGGGGGGGGAGGTACGCACGTCGATCCTGGCGTCCCACTCAGCTAACTGGATGCGACGACCGTAGCTGAGGAAATGGCGGCCGATCTCCTCGCACACTGGAGTCGTACCTGAGGAGCACAACAGCCCTGGGTCAGCACAGCACAGAACCAACAGTAGCCATCAGCACCGACAGACACACTGGCTGCACAGAGGACCAAGGCAGAGGCCACAGGAGCCACAGGAGCCAGGAATTGTTGTTGTAAGGTGGAGCAGACACACGTGCGGGAGAGAGAGAGAAGCACAAGTGGCATTTTGTTTTTAAGGGGACGGACTCTTACCATCCAGCTGGCCAACGAGACTGGTCTTCAGCACATTCTTGGCTCTGGCCATGTCGCTCTCGGTCACCGTGGTGCACAGCATCATCCTGCAGGCGAGAGAGAGGGAGTCAGCACGGGGGGGTGGAGAGAGAGGAGAGAGAGGAAAGGGAAAACAAGAGAAAGAGGCAGTAGAAGGGAAGAAGGGGGTGACAGTGAAGACACAAGAAACGTGTAAATAATGCCAGAAAATAAAAGCTTTAATAAAAGTCTGAACACTGCACAGCTGGAGGGAGTCAGACAGTTGCGCGCCGGTGCTTCTCTCATGCGCACGGTCCTGCGGCGCCCTGACCGTGACACTGCCCCCCAGGACGCAGCAGCGAAGCCAGCAGGGACGACGGGGGCACTGACCACTGGTTCTGCACCCAGTGCAGCATGTCCTCGACGTTGTGCTTGTCGGTGACGAAGTGGACGCCGAACAGGCCGGTGTCGGAGTAGCAGGTGTTGAAGGACTGGAAGCTGTGGCAGAGCTTGTCCTCCACGGCGAGCTGGGCCAGCCGGCCGCTGAGGTTCTGGACAGAGGAGACGGGACAGGAGAGCGCGGGCGCGTCAGAGGGGCCGCCGGCGGCAGCAGCTTCAGACATGACAGCTGTCAACAGGACAGCCTGTCCTCTACCCCTCTTATTTAGTTATTAATCAGTTCCTTCCCGACAGTAAAGGGATAAGCGCTGCTGTTGCCCATTTTGATTTAGGGACAGCGAGACCCCCCGTGTGCCGGGCCGGAGCCACGTGGAGACCCGAGGCCGGAGCACATGGACAGGCCTGTCGCACGCGAGGTTTCAGAGCTCTCACAGATCCTACAAGAGTCTGAAGCCTGCACCACCTGCAGCCTATTGAACTAGCCCTAGAGAAAAAATAAAACCGATATATATATTTACAGATGCATGCAAGCACTATGTTTGTCAGAAAACAGCTGACAGGAAGTCAAAGTCATTCTCACAAGAAGAACCGTGCTACCCCCCTGGGCAAGTTGTGTTGTTCCCATGAACACTCAGGAGGCCTGAGACACCTGGGCTCAGGTGGCTCCCCACCCACCTTGCCCCCCCCGTAGGTGATGTCGTAGTTGCCGATCATGGCTACAGCCAGCATCAGCGGCACTATGTCGGGGTTCGACCAGCTGGCGCCCTCCACCGCGATGGCGATGTGGGCCAGGGGGAGTGCGTCGTCTCGCACGCGGATCTGAGAGAAAGAGGGAGATCGGAGAGCGAGGGACAGATGAGGAGGAGGAAAGAAACAAGACATTTGCATGACATTGTACCCAAACCCTTCCCTAAGCTAGCAGCCGCGCCCCCTGCCCACGACGCCGTCACCCCACGACAACAGAAGCGTTGGTCAGCGTATGGACACCAAGTCAAAGCTCCCCTAAACAGGAGAGACGCAGCATTCCACGTCAGATGACCGAAAAATACAAATACAAGTACTTCATCAGCAAAACATCTCAGGGGTGAGACAGCACCAACCGTGCCCAGCACCATTAAGGACATACGAGACAGAAGGCACGTATTTTCACAGCTCAAAATCGCCACAAGAAAGAGACATATCTGAAGTCTGAGTCCGGACACTTCCAAGGCGATGGCTGCTACCACAGCTACTGAGGACAGAGCTCTAGGCGGGCAGCTCGTCTCATTAACTCCTGGACCCCCCCAGCCCCCGCCCGGCAGACTCACATCACTCCCAGTGAAGCGGCAGGGCGCCAGCACAGGAACGGTGTCGCCCTCGTACGTGAACCCCAAACCGCCCAGGTGCTGCTTGGCCAGACTGACCAGCTCACTGTGCTTCACGCCTGCAGAGGGGAGAGACAGCGGAGGACAGGTCAAAGGAAGGGAGAGACATCGCTGCTCCACACGGACAGGGGGAGACGACTGGGGACTATGCTAGACTCGGCCTGCTCCCCGCGGGACAGTCCTGCGAGGCGAGCTCACCTCCTGCGGCCGCCAGCACCATGCGCGGGGCCTTGTAGTGGGAGCTGATGTATTCCAGCAGGTCCTGCCGAGTCAAAGTCCTGCGGGAAACAGGCGAGAGAGGAGCCCTTCAGACACGGTGGTGGAGGCTGCAGTACTCAGAGCCCTGGCCTGCTTTCACAATCACTTACAGAACACTACGCACTGCAGCACCTGCCCTGAGAACACGCCATTTCATACAAACCGCAGATACACCCAAAATCGAAAAAATACTTTGTTCCCAGATTATGGCTTCATTGTTGGTGGAAAACAGGAGACCTTCTAACTGCTCAACCCCACAGTAACAGAACTCACTAACACAAAACGATACTATAGTTGTGCAGAAAATATATTCTTGGAAGATTTAAAATTGTTCCCCCCCCCCACTTAAAATCAGCTGGGAACCGGAGCTGCTGCTCGAGCCCAGTCTGCTGGCTAGTAATAACCACGCCTGAGGAGAGATCTCTCCTGCTCAGCACGAGGTGAGTCTGAAAAACAGGCACCCACCCAGGACTGCTGGGATCGACTTTTTAATTAAACTGCTACTTTTCACCAGTTTTAATCACAGTGATTAACCTTAGTAGTCAGGTGAGACATCTACACTCCCAGTGCATCCCACCGGACAAAAATTCCATCATCCGGATTATGTTCACCAGAAGCCATAAAGGAGTTTGAGTGGCTGGTGGCAAAGTTCAGACATGACCTGCCTGTGTACTGGTCCTGGTCAACTGAAAATGACTTCACTCGTTTTGCTCTCTAGAAATTACAGGTTTTTCCAGACCTCCCTGCCTCGTCAGGAAAGGGTTTTTGCCGTTTCCTACGACGGGAAGCTGATCCAGAGACAGGGAGTTAGGCAGCTCTGCCGGGGTGACCGTCTCTGCCTCTGACCTGGCGTTCTCGGAGGGCCCCAGGACGGACTGGCCCAGCGGCGTGCCCTGGTAGGCGGTGGTGTGCAGCAGGTCCAGGCACACGTCCTGCAGGCTGGACTCCGCCTCCTCCAGCTCACGCAGGACCACGCCGCGCTGGCGCTCCAGGTCTGAGTCGGCCAGCTCGGCGTTCTGCACCACCTCCGCCAGCAGCTCCACCGCTGCGTGCAGGGAGAGAGACGGGGACAGGGGAGTCAGTGCACCGTGCTCCTTCTTCTGTTCCCCCCCTCTCCCTCTTTCTCTGAAAGAGCAGCCAGCTCTTGAACGTGCCGGCGCACTCCTGCACAGTGAGACACGCGAGACACAGAAGCAGACGCACGCACGCCGCTGAGCTCACCTCTGGGCAGGTCCTTGGACAGGGCCTTCAGGTAAAAGGCCGTCTGCTCGCGGGAGGTGTAGGCACTGAGGTGGGCACCCAGACTCTCCACCTCCTGCTCCAGAGCGGACTGGGGGAACTTCTTCGAGCCCTGAGGGAGAGGGGGGATTGGGGAGACACCAGCAGAGGAGGAGGAGTGCAGGAAAGGACAGACAGCGAGAGAAGGTGGGAGAGTCAGTGCACTGTTCTGCGTGCTCTCGGGCCGAGAGGTGGCGGAGCAGGAGCAGGTGCTGGTCAGTGTACCTTGAAGGCCATGTGCTCCAGGAAGAAGCCACAGCCATTATTCTTCTCGGTCTCGTAGCGGCTCCCGGCGCCGAGCCACAGCCCCACCTGCAGGAGCACAGACGGCACGGGCCGAGGTGAGGAAGAGGAGGGAGGGGCGGACGCCGGCGACTGGCACCGCGCCTCCGGGCCTGACCGGCCGCGGGGGTGAAGGGCAGAGCAGGAGAGAGGCCACTCACGGTGCAGGTGGGCAGGTCCGTCTCCTCGGACGCGACGCGGAGGCCGGTGTCCAGCGTGGTCACCTGCGTCTCCGGGATGCTGCGCAGGCTCTCGGCGTAGGACACCCCGGCCTGGCCCCGGCGCAGGGACAGCAGGGCCGGCTGCACGGACACGTCCACAAGCCAGGAGAGAGAAACACACAACACGGGATAAGGGAACATACTGAAAACAAAACCGACGTCCTGATTCTATACTTCTCAAGCTGTGCAAGGCAATGGTTCGTCTGCCCAAGCTGTCAAGAGGGACCACAGAGCAGCCGGTGGTCCCGGAGCAATGACAACGGGCAGCTTGGATGAAGCAGTTTTTACACCGCAGCCTGAGTGCCTTGGACCCTGATCTCCCCAGAGCTCCGCGGGGTCAGTACTGGGGCAGCAGGCCGCTCCAGCAGGGGGCGCTCCACCCCAGCGCCCCAGTTAGGGGACACCGCACTGCAGGAGCTGCAATACTGCAGACCTGCTGCCTGCTCCCAGTCATTCAAGAGCACCGGTCTGCTGACCCACCCAGTCAATCCCACTTGATTCAGCCTCTCCCTGCAACAGTGAAGCACTTTCTCTCTCCTGCCCCCGACCTGCAGGGGGGTCACCCAAGAGGGGCCGTGTGAGCCCCCAGGTGTCACTCCAGAGGGGCTGTACAATGGGGGATTTGGATCCCCTCCTGTGCATAAAGCACTTGGGGATCCTTTGAGAAGAAAAGCTCAAGGCAATTGTAATTATAACACAACCTCAACCTCGCCAGTAGACCGAATCGGAAGAACTGCTCAGACAAACAGAATAAACTTGTAGCCGACGATTAACCCCGGCTTCTGTCCGAGACGCTGTAGCTGAACCCGAGCGGCTGTATCGTCAGGTCATCGTCACAGCAAAAACATCCAGGATCCGGTCAGCCCACAGGCAGGGACAAACGAGTAAACTGCTCCCTTCAAGACACCGCGGTCCCGGGTTCAAGCCCTGCTCTAGCCCCGGTCCGGACCGGACCCCGCAGCCCGGGAGAGCAGCTCCTGTCTGCGGCGGCAGCCGTGACCTTGCCGGAGTCCCGCACAGGCCGGCCGTTCCCGGGCCGCACAGGCGCTGGAAACGCCGCACACACGCATGTTACCTGCCGCAGCAACCCCGCACCCCGCCAGGCCGGCGCTCACGGCGACCTGCGGCGGAGCGGTCGCCCCGCCGAACTGGCGGAACCGGGCCGGCCTCCCCCCGCGACCGCCCAGAGGTGACTTTCACCCGGGCCAGGGACGGGGCTTGCCGGGTTTATCCGCAGCACGGGGGAAGCTGGCGCGCCCTGTCGTCGTGCAGGGCCCTAGTCTCACGGCGGAGCTGTACTCACACTCCTGGCCCGGGCCAGAGCTCTGCCCACGGCGCCGCCGGCTCGACACACGGACGCTGCCATCTTTTCCTCTCGGCCTTCGACTGAGGGATGAGGCGGGAGCGCGCACGACACTCTGCGCGGCCGTGCATAGGAGCGACGCGAGCTCGCACGACGCTTTACGTGCTGGTGGCCTGACTGTATTCGGTGTTTTCATTACGATGTGACTTTAATAATAAGTTGTGCTACATCAGTGTAAGGAAATAATCATAAGTCTTTACACTGATGTAGCGCCACTTGCTTTAACGCCACAAATCCCGAAGAGATGGAAATTGACTCCGGCGTGTGTACTTTGTGTAAGTGTGATGCCGCAACAACAGCCGAATTGAGCTCGGCTCTCTACGCCTTGCGCAGATCACAGCAGCTACAGTCCTGACTTACATGAATAAAAGGAAAAATGACAAACGAACAGGTTGCGTTCGGCCCACCCTGCTGATTTGGTTGCAAACGCGTTGTAGAAATCTTGCTCTAGACTGGGGTCGTTACTCCTGACCTGGCTTGGGTGCAGTTTAAAAACAGACACCTGCGACATGCCAGAAAAAACTGAAAGTCAGGGATAAATTCATCAGGAATAGCCACTGGGCCATAAGTGGAAATATTTTCTAGGATCCCCAATATGATTGGTAATTGCGGCCCGTGAACGCCCAGTCATGGTGATAACATCGGGTGATCGTGGCAGCTCACAGACTATAAAACCCTCTGCAAGCTGCTGGAGCTCAGAGCGCTGATCGAGGCCCCCTTGTGTGGGTCCCCTCAGTGTTGTCACTA